CTATACCCATCTATTAGAGGCTGTGTGGCTATATGAGTCCAGCAAGTCACCCCATTTGTGGTGCTATGTGGAACCTGTGGCAGAGCTGCCTAGGAACTCACATGTATTTGGATGGTCTCACCAGCAGGAGTGCCACTGGGAGTTCCCAGACACCAGATTTTCCTATTCAGTGGCTTCCATGCCAATTTGATTTATACATAGTTCACAGTTGACAGGTGGCTCCTGGCATCAGCCATAAAAGGGAATGAAGTACTGACACACGCTATAATGTGGATGAGCCTTGAAAATGTGCTAAGTGAAGCTAAACACAAACATTATGTTTTATATAGCCCTGGGTCTTCGGGTATCCAAAATAGCATACATTAGCCAACTCAGGTTGCCATAACAAAATACCAGAGACTAGGTGGCTTAAACACAGGAATTTATTTTCCTATAATTCTGGACGTTGAAGGTCTAAGATCAGAGTACCGACATGGTTGGGCTCTGGTAGGAGATCTCTTCCTGTCTTCAGAAGTCTACCTTCTCTCTGTGTCTTCACAAGGCAGAGAAAGAGCTCTAATATTGGTTCTTCCTCTTACAAGAGCACCAGTTCCACTGAATTGAGGCCCCACCCTTATGATCTCATTTAACTTTAATTAGCTACTTATTGGTCCTATCTCCAGCATAGTCACATGAGAGGGGCTTCAACATATAAATTTGAGTGGGGACACAATCAAATTCACCAAAATAGGTAAATCTAGGGGGAAAAAAACATATTGATGTTGCCAGGGGATAAGGAGAGGGAGAAATTGGGAGTAACTATTTAATGGGTATTGAGTTTTAATTGGGGGATGTTGAAAATATTTGGGAATTAGGTAGAGGTGGCAGTTATAAAATATAATGAGTGTATTAAATGCTACTCACTTTGGTAAAATCATTAATTTTATTTATGTGACCTTTACCTCAATGAAAATAAAAGCAAACACACACACACACACACACACACACACACGTATATATAGGTGCAAAGGAGTAAATCAGAAAAAGATTTTAAAAATTCAGCAATTTTCCAAAGTGAGCTCTGCCATTTATATGCCTTAGTTCCCAGTAGTCTTTCTGTCTCTAAGTTTAATTGTAAAGTTTCAAGAACATTATTATCCAAAGTACATGTATGAAGACACAAATTGGTGTCAATATAATTTGTATACAACCAGAGATATGAAAAATTGTGTTCTATATGTGTAATAAGAATTGTAATGCATTCTGCTGACACATATATAAAAAAATTTAAAAAGAGAGATATCAGTCATCCATTGCCAGAACAACTGTATATGATAATCTATCCCATAAATTAGGAATATATAGCCATAATCATTTACTTCTAGCTCATGTGTCTGTAGGCTGTTTGGGTGGGATTAACTTAGATGCCCAGTCTGCTGCACATATTTTTCACCCTCCTTGGATGAGCACATAGAAGAACATACTATTTATGTGCTCTTCTCATAGACAAAGACCTGAAAATTCATATGCACATATAAAGCCTTTGCTCAAATTTCATCCTCTGACATTCCATTAGCAAATCACACAGCAAAGTCCTAATGTCAATAGGGAGAAAAAA